GATCACCTATGTAGCGCAGGGGAACACCTATGTTTGTGTGTGAGAGAGAGAGAGAGGTGAAGGGAGGGCGGGGGCTCACCTATGTAGCGCAGGGGCTCGCCTATGTTTGTGTGTGAGAGAGAGAGAGGTGAAGGGAGGCCGGGAGCTCACCTATGTAGCGCAGGGGCTCACCTATGTAGCAGGCGGGCAGTCAATACAGTTCGCCACACACCCTTCAGTACACACCCTTCGTCGAAGTCAGCAATTTCAACGAGAGGCCGTTAGATTCCTCACATGTATATAAGATATGTTCCCGACTAAGTACAGTCATGATGAGGGTGCGTGATCCTGGGTGCTGTACAGTACGATTACTTTCTTAAAGTTTTTTTCCCGCTTTATTTCTTTCTTTCGAATCTCTTCTTGTACATTAGGGCTCCCCATTTGATGACACAACCGCCACTTTCCGAGACCAGAGAGCACCCTCGTCATCACTGTATCTGTCCAGGAAACTAGGCTGTCTACATTTGAGAAGACGAAGACGAGGGTTGTTGTGTCCTTGTTTCAGGCCCAATACAATCATGATGATGGTGCATGATGTACTTTTTTTTTTTTCTTTTCCCCTTTCCGTTTTAGGCGCTGATCCGACAATACGTAAAAAGAGAAAAAACAAGAAAGTCCCTTGAAAGATGGGCACGGGTAGTGCGGGGCGGAAAGCAAAGTGGGACCCCACACAGGTGGGTTCCACAGGTCTTTCCCAAGTACCACGCCGAATTTTTTTGGGCTTCCACGGAGACGGATGTTCCTGTGTTCCGCCATATGGCCTGGCCTCCAGCATCGTACAGTTCTCTGCTCCACAGACGAACATTGAAAAGGCCGACTCATTTTTGCGGCAGCTTTCTCGGTAGGGGTAGGGGTCCTCGACCTTTCCATTTTGTGTAGCTCCGTTGGGCCGTTCATCACGGCCAACGTGCCACGTACACATGAACCGAAAACGTACCCCTAACAAAGCGCAGCACCCTGTGATTTCGGAAAGTGGTATCTGCGTTTGTCAACGAAATTGGCTAACTTACACACTGTCCGATCAGAAGCTTACTCTGTACACAACGGCCCCGTTCGAGTGCAGACAGCACAATCATCATAACTGTATCCAGCCTGAAAACTGGCTTGTATACGTTGGAGAACACTGAGACTCCCTGTGGTGTACTTCTTTTATTTCTTTTTTGTTTTTTCTCAGTACACAATCACCCCAGCTGAGTCCAGAGAGGACCCTCCCCATGACTTTGGGCCTCGCTGCACTACTCTCGACATGCACAAAAAACAAAAATCATGGCCGTGTATCTTTCCATATTCTAGGGGAAGATTCACTCTCGTTTTGCGCATTTCGAGAGTAGTGCAGCGAGGCCCTTTATCTTCTGTGAAAACTGGCTTCTATACGTTCGAGAACACAGCCGCCCCCCGTGTGTACTTTTTTCTGCCTTTTTTGTTTTCCCTGTACACAACGTCTCCGCTCGAATGCAGACAGCACCCTCGTCACAACTGTATCGGGCCTGAAAACTGGATTGTATACGCTTGAGAACACTGGTGCCCCCTCATCAAGAGCGCGTGAACTTTCATAAGGGGGCTTTGTCTGGTCGAATGTACGCAAGGGATGTTTCAGGCCAGATACAGTCACCATGAGGGTTCCAGGTGCTGACGCTTATTTGTTTCTTCCTTTTTCTTTTGTCTTTCTGAACACCGAGACGGCGAGACCTGATTCAACGACACAGCCACCACTTCCTGCCAATGGAAAGCACACTCGTAAGAGGGCTGTTGTTGCAGAAAACTTTTTGTGTCCCCCCCCCCCCCCCCCCCCCCAAAAAAAAAAAATTTTTTTTAAGGGGGTGTTGGGGAATTTTTTTTCCCGCCGGGGGGGGGCCCAAAAAATCTTTTCCCCACCCACCCCTGGTCTTTTTGATTTTTTCTGGGGGGGGGGGGGGGGGGTTTTCCCCCCCCCCCGCCACTTTATCCTGGGGGGGGGGGAGAGACCCGGATTTCTGGTCGTGCAGCGCATGCGGTTTATGCTGTGCACAAACCGCATGCGCAATGCGCAAATGCGCCACGTGCGTGCGACCAGCGCACACGCAATGCACCGCAAGCATGCTTTAGTTCTTTTTCGTACTTGGCCAGACAGTCTACTTACCCACCAGCGGGTAGGAAACATACAGAGAAGACGCCTCCCGGCTGAGGAGGAAGAGGAAGAGATCAAGATAATGGGAATGGCAACAAAATCATCTCCGTCCTTTGGACTAATCAGCTCCTCCTACAAATTGCCCCCAATAATGAAATGCCTCTGAAGTCTGACCTGCAGAGCAGCATTCTCCAAAAAGTACCGCATCAAAAGATTCAAAACCAGACATTTTAGACTATGTCTGATGCTCCCAGCAGACGACGCAGGACAGGAGATAACAAAAAGAAGACCTTTCTCTCTCTCTCTCTCTCTCTCTCTCTCTCTCTCTCTCTCTCTCTCTCTCTCTCTCTCTCTCTCTCTCTCTATCTATCTATCTATCTATCTATCTATCTATCTCGACGAACCTTGCTCTTGGACGAACAAGTTGAGGCTACTAAACAAGCAAAACAAAAACCTAACATCACGTTGACAATACATTCACACGACTTCAGAACCAAACAAGGTGAAAAACAAATGCATTCATCAAGGTCAGCTCTGCAGCACTGATTTTGGCATGGGTGGATGGTGTGTCATACCACAGGTTGCTGGTGTTCAATTGCACCTCGAACAGCTTGAACAAGAGGTTCATCCATTTCCGTATACAGACTGGAGACCATGCCTGCTTTCCCTGCTCGAGCAGTTCTTCCAACTCGATGTAGGAAATCGACAGCAGATGTCGCAAACTCCGCCTGCAAAGAACCCATGTGAGATTGGACGTGTTTTGAGATTAAAAAAAAAAAGAAAAACAAAAAAGAAAGGAAGAAAAAAAAAACAGCCCCGCACAGCCACAGTTCAGTACCCACACCGCCCTGTTTTTCCAAACCTCAGAAAAAAGCCAAGTTCCATGTACCTTGTTCTTTTCCCCTTAAGGCCGATATAGGAAGGGGGTCTCCTCCCCGGGGTCCACCCGGGCATTTTCTTTTCTTTTCTTTTCTTTTTTCCCCCAAGCCCCTTCTATTCTGGGGGCCAGCAGTCCGGTTGCTTATCACCGGCAAGCATGTCACGGTTCATACATCCAACTTGATCCAAGAGAAAAGGGGGAGAATACGCGAGAAAGAGTCAGCCTATCCCTTGCAGCCATAGCCACGTGCAAGGGGGAACCTGTTACAGGCCATCCCTCCCCGCAGTCCCTGAGGAGGGGGGCTGCCCTGCTGGTCGGGAAGATTACTAGCACTACCCAGTCACGCAGCAGGGCAGCCTCCCGGATTGCAGGACGCGGAGTGGAGAGGGGGGGGGGGGGAGGCCCTAGCAGCTCCGCAGGCCGCATAACACCTATGTTTACCTGTCAGTGTCTCATTCAGCATCTTATCCAATCCCTATTACGGTATTATTAGTAATTTATTACCCTTTCTTCTGCCTAAGCCTTATATCCACCCCATTTAAACATATTCTGGGCCTTCTGTCCTAATGTCCTTTTGTCCCTGGTTTCCAGCCCTACCCCTTTCAGCCCCCATTTTTCTCCGGGAACACCTTCGTACTTGGACTTACTTTGTCTTGGTCCCAATTACTCTCATCCTTCCTCACATTACTGTCCCTACCGCCCCGTGTACCCACCATAGGTTCACTTAACCCCACTTACTTCCACCATATCTTATCCATCCACAAGTTAAGAGGAAATTTTCTGTTTTCCCCCGCCAGTAGGGCGTCTCGAAAAGCAGCCTGAACTTGAACCCAGGCTCCTTTTTGTTTCTTGGTGTTGTCTGATTGGGGGGAAGAGGGGGGAAAGGGGGGGGTAAATAAGATTTGAAGGGTTGTGCCTTGGTTTGGAATTTGTATTTTGATTTCTCTTTAACAAGTTTTATATTTGATTCAATGAGGAATTGCCCCCCCCCCCCCCACCCCGAAAACGCCCTGCCGGTGGGGGTGCACCCCTATAAATGGGATTTGAAGGGGTGTGCCTTGGTTTGGAATTCTGAGGTTACGCTTGTTGCCATTCTAGCATTATTCAATTTATTCTACACAACATTCTTTTCCTCCATTTTTTTTCTTTTTTTTCTTTTTTTTTGGCCTGAGACTGCCTGGGACCTGGCTGGGCCCTTTCCCTGCCTGGCATTCTGGACAGCCAGAGGCAGATGCGCCCGGAAAAGGCATAAATCTATTAAAACTTAAAAGATAATAATGTCTTTCTGAAAAATTTTGGACCGTTTCTTGGTGTGTGTCATCATCCTAGCATAGAGTCCTTTTACTGAAAATGCCACAAACACAAACCAACATCTTCTCTGTATAATTCAAATTTTAACGGATGTCCATCCATCCATCCATGCATCCATCCATCCATCCATTCATCCATTCATACATTCATCCATTCACCCACCCATCCCCCCCAACTCACATCCATCCATCCATCCGTCCTCCCGCCCAACATCTGTCCATCCATCCATCCTCCCACCCCTTCTTCACCCATCGATCCATCCGTCCATTCACACAAACACCTGCTCATCCATCTATCCATCCATCCATCCACACATCCATTGCCCCATCCATCCGTCCATCCACTCGTCAATGAATACATCTTAACCATCCACCCATTGATGAATACGACCATCACATGCATCCACCCATCCTCTCGGTGATCCAAGCATCCACCTGTCCATCGACATGCATTAACCCATCAGTGAATACATCCATCCATCCACCCACCAATCCACGCAGCTGCCCATCCAAATGCCGATCCACGCAGCTGCCCATCCATCCACCGACCCTCGCTCCTACCCGCCCAACGCCCATCCATCCATCCATCCATCCATCCATCCATCCATCCATCCATCCATCCATCCATCCACCCATCCATCCATCAATCAGTCCATCCACCTATGGAGCAGCACTTAAATACCAACCAACCAATGAGGGCAGAAACCAAAATATGTCAACCGACCTGAACCACGTGCGCAACTTCTGGAATGTCCAGGCCACGTGACGCTACATCGGTACAAATCAGGACTCCTCCTTTCTCAGCGAAGTCATGCAGTACGAGTGTTCGGTCTTGAGCGGGAACGCCCTTGTGGTAGCACGAGCAGTCCACACCCCTCCTACGCAAGACTCTCCCGATGCCTTCGACGGCCTCCACGCTATTCGCAAACACCATGATCCTCATTGCTTTGAGTTTGTGACGGGAGTGTAGCTGGTTGCCACCACTGGCCACACCAGCACCATGCTCACGCTCACCCTCCTCAGATCTGCACTCGCCACCTCCATTTCCTGTTCGCACAATGGCATCAACAAGGGCGGCGATCCGCGAATCGCTGTCCACCTTTAACCATCTTAGTTGTAGGTTGGGATTATGACAATGMAGAAGATTTCCGGTGATTCGTGTCGCATTCGGAAACCGATCCCTTATGACTCCTCCAGGAGATTTCTTACTTCTTTCAGACAATGTGGCTGCAACAAAAATGTAATCCTTGCTCCTTTGGTAGACTTTCGGCTTCTTTTGCCTCTTTGACTTCACGGAGTTGTCCTTCCTGCTGACATCTTCATCATCATCTTCGCCATCCCAACCCCTCGAAATATCCTCTTCGTCTCTCTCTTCTTCACTGCCGTCAACAACACTCTCTTGCGATATCTGATCACCAGACTTCCCTCTTGGGACATCACTGATGGCACTCTCTTGCTCTTGCGCTTCTGATTCATCCATCGGGAAGTCCGTCCATGGCTGAGCACTTAAATCCCCCTCTTCCTCCTCCTCCTCCTCCTCCTCTTGCTCCTCCACGGGACCTTGTGCATTGTCAGCAATCTGCTTGTGGCCTGAAACTGACTGAGAAATAAGAATCGCCATCTCTCTCTCCTGCCGCCGGCAAAGCAAAAGGAGCTTGTTGACGTCCCTCTCAAAACCTCCAGACAACAACATATCTGCCTCGTCCACCACCTGCTCATTTTTCATGCAATTGGATTATAGCTCGAAACATCAGAAAGTCTGCAAGCACCATACATTGGCTGTCCCCCTCTTTGCCCACGTGCCTGCCTGCCTCTCTGCCTGCTTCTCTCTCTCTCTCTCTCTCTCTCTCTCTCTCTCTCTCTCTCTCTCTCTCTCTCTCTCTCTCTCTCTCTCTCTCTCTCTCTCTCT